ATGATCCGCTTAACAATAGCTGAATGATGGTCATTTTAAGGCCAAAAATGCATTAAAATCGCGTATTTTCACAATTCCGGAACCGGATCTCAGTCATGCATGGATGGATTTTGTTCAGATTTAGTACAATGTGTTGTACATATGCAGGTGCATTTCGGATCAGACCACTGAAAGTGGTCTGAGATTTCGGTCATGATCTGCTTTGAATGTATATGTCACTCAAATGTGAACGGAACAGGGACATGTCATTGACAATGACTTGTTTATAAGTGTTAATTTTTATTTTTGACTCCCGTGTGCGAAGCACAAAAAGGGAGTCTTGCAGTTAGTGTGTCTGTCCTGCGTGTGTGTGCGTGTGTGTGTGTGTGTCTGTTCCACTGATATCTCAAGAACCATACATTGATTTTTGATGAAACTTGGTGCATAGATGTTCTGGGCCAATGCGCAGATTTGATTAGGTTTTGGTAAAAATCCATGCATATTAATTACCTAATTTTCATGATAATTAGCTGATTTTTAGCTGTTCCATGACTGTTCACTGATATCTCAAGAACCACTCATTGGATTTTGATGAAACTTGGCACACAGATGCTCCAAACTAATGCGCAGATTTGATTAGTTTTGGGTGAAAATCTGTGCAATATTAATTACCTAATTTGCATAATGATTAATCAATTTTTGGCTTTTCCACTGATATCATCACATTTCAATAAAACTTGGTACATAGATGTCACACTGCACAAACCTGATAGTTTTTAGGGTAATATCAGTACATATTAATTACCTAATTTGCATAATTAATTAATTTTCAGCTTTTGATATTTCAAGTAGTAATCATCACATTTCAATAAAACTTGGTACATAGATGTCATAGGACACTGCACAGACCTGATAGTTTTTAGGGTAATATCAGTACATATTAATTACCTAATTTGCATAATTAATTAATTTTCAGCTTTTGATATTTTAAGTAGTAATCATCACATTTCAATGAAATTTAGTACATACCGGTAGATGTCATAGGACACTGCACAGACCTGATAGTTTTTAGGGTAATATCAGTATATATTAATTAGCTAATTTGCATAATTAATTAATTTTCAGCTTTTGATATTTCAAGTAGTAATCATCAAATTTCAATGACACTTGGTACATAGATGTCATAGGACACTGCACAGACCTGATAGTTTTTAGGGTAATATCAGTATATATTAATTAGCTAATTTGCATAATTAATTAATTTTCAGCTTTTGATATTTCAAGTAGTAATCATCACATTTCAATGACACTTGGTACATAGATGTCATAGGACACTGCACAGACCTGATTAGTTTTAATTGGATATTAATTTCCTAATTTGCATAATGTTTCACTGATATATAAAGAACCACAAATTGGATTTTAATGAAACTTTTAAAGAGAACTATGCAGAAACCCAATTAGTTTTTGGTAAATATTTATGCTTATTAATCACATAATTAACATAATTAATTAACACTGATATCTCAATTACTGATCATCACATTTGAATAAAATTTGGTACATAAATGCTCTAGGACAATAGACAGGCCTGATTAATTTTGGGTTAAAATTTGTTCATATTAATTCTCTAATTAGCATAATAATTCATAATTTTTTTGTTTTGTTCTGTTCATATTAGTTACCTGATTTACATAATTAGTTTTCAGCTTTTCCATCAATATCTCATGTACAAGTAATTTTGAATTAATTTTTAATGTGTCTTCAATACTCTCAGCACACAGGAGTTCTTTCTAAGCTTTCTTTGATTAAACATTTATAATTGATTGTTTCATTTGTTTTAGATTCACCAAGAATGTAAAAAGTTTGGTAAAGCCTATAATATACACACAGTATGTGCATATGGTGGAGGTAACATGTGGGAACAAACAAAGGCATGCCAAGCTGGCTGTGAAATATTAGTTGCAACACCAGTAAGTGCAGAATAGTTCTACATAGTGGATTTTTTATGCTAATTGCCAAAACGGATTTTTATTCATCAGTGTTGTTCTTGTAAATATGTTGTTTTTTTTCTGATAACTCCGACAGGGAAGATTAATAGATCTTGTCAAACGAAAAGCCACTAATCTAGAGCGGGTTACTTTCCTCGTGTTAGATGAAGCTGATAGAATGTTTGATATGGGTTTTGGTAAGTACTACGTTGATGTTTAGCTAGGTATTCAAGAAGTAACTGAGTATTTGGTGTTATAGTTTGATTTATAAAAAGTAGTTGTCCGGAAATAAAACTAATGCGTCTTGAAATATGTTGTATATATCACCTATTAGGTCAAAGGTGAAGCAAAACATCAAGAGTTTGTGTTTGTTTCGTAAAACCGTGTTATTTTCCCCAAAGGCATGTAACTTTTCACCCTAACCTAGCACATGATAAACAAAAAGAGTCATTTTAATTATTTTCTACTGGGGTGCTAGACTATAAGCACCCACCTTTTAAAAACATGATTTTTGGAGTGTGGTATGTTTGCATTAGTTGTATGCCCTGTGAAAATTTGTTATCTTTGTATTAGTGCATATATGTACTGGTATGTAAGGAAGAAATCTGTGCATCTGCATTGAATCTTCTGATCAGTATGTGATACAATATTAAAGTGACTATAGTACTATTGATTTGTTTGTGTATATTTCACAGAACCCCAAGTACGTTCTATAGCAAATCATGTGAGACCAGACCGACAAAGTAAGTTATTAATATATTCAGTTCTTGTCTTGTCATTTCAATATAACACCGTGATCAAGAATTGTGTCTTTGTTGCATATTATCTCATAATATTTTCTCTTGACGTCAACGGGCCCCAATGATTACATTCAGAGTATCAATCCCGCACTAGCGGTAATTACGAGTGACGTCAAACTCGTTGTTATGCATATTACTACAGTCCAAATGAATGCAACAATTTAATATTGAATGTGGAATTTCTTGTACACAATATGCATATTCATTGTATATTGTGTTACACTGTGGAGATACACACGTTGTGCATGCGATTTTTGCTAGGAATGTAAAACAGAATTTTGATCATGTTATAGCCAGTGTGTTGTATTGTATAAAGTGGATACATGTTAGTTCATATTTGAAAAGTCAGCAAGAGCTCTCCCGTTGAGCATTTACAGTATCTGAGTAAATAACTATACACCAAAGTCAGGTATATAAATGCAGGTATTCTGTGAACTAATTACAGGCATAAATATTCATAAACTCAAATGACAGTTACACATTGTGAGTGTGTATAGTAATGTAGACTGTTATAACGCATTCTAATCTAATCATTTAGTTTTTGTTTTGAATTTGAATGAGATTGATTTCAAATGAAAAAACATTTGATATATAAATTGTTGCAAGCATGTTCAAACATGCCTGACATACCCGGTATAACTAGAAAAAAAGTATATTGTTTTACTGATGTTTAATAGGGGATTTTCCGTACAATTACGAGATCTCGCGAGATGTATGAAAAACGCGCGTCTAACGTCTGCTGCAAAAATCGAACGATTTGATTTTGAACTAGAATTTCTTTATTTCGTAACTCACATTGTCTATCATCAAATGTGGAGAGCACATTATTAAACATGGAAATGTCCCCCAAAATACTTTGCGTTTGTCGAATCCCACGCGATGTTTGATGCCACTACGACGCTATGACCTTTGTTTGTCCTGTTTTTACGTTCGATTTCACGCATAACGCGTGATTCTCGCAGTGAACGGAAAATGGTCTATTGCTGAACTACTGTAATTAGTTATACCGATATTTGTTTAATGGTTATTGCATTTTCACCGTAAATGCTAAATCAGCAGGAAAGTGAATGAAATGTGAAAGCAACATCTCCAGGATTTGGTTTCATTAAATTTATCGCATTTGACAATTATTTTTTCAGCATTGTTGTTCAGTGCAACCTTCAGGAAAAAGGTTGAGCGGTTAGCTAGAGATATATTAACAGATCCAATACGAGTAATACAGGGAGACCTGGGCGAGGTAAGTGTCATTCCGATAGTAGTAACAACTATCAAAACTTACATAAGCTGTTTTTTATATCAATGTAATGCTGTAATCTGTATGTGATGAACACAGTATATACAAATATTCATATACATGTCTGGAAAAAAAATAAAATATTTCCTATACATGTGGTTTATTTCAATAGGCTAATGAAGATGTGGTACAGATTGTAGAGTGTCTGTCTGATGGTCCCGCTAAATGGCCATGGCTGATAAAAAGACTGGTTAGTTTTACAACAGAGGGAAGTGTCCTCATATTTGTGACAAAGAAAGCCAATTCTGAAGAACTAGCCAGTAATCTGAAAACGCATGACTTTGATTGTGAGTGCCTCCTCTCTTTTATTTCATGCCTTATCTTGCAACGCATTGCTACTTCTATGGGTCGTTACTTGTTACTTCTCCATTGAAGGTTATGAGCAGACCAACCTTTATCACTACTGGCTTTTTTAATTATTACATGTACTTGCTCTGAAAACATAGCTTTTACAATTGTTTAAATTAACAGATGTTGTTCTATGTACAATGAATACATTTTAAATAATAAACCTTACTGTGTTAATAACAAATTGTATTGACAACATGAGAATGATTCTGATGCCCAGTGGTGATGTTGAAACAAACTCAGGTCCTGGTAATATACTAAGACCTGATTAACAAAGAAGTCATGTACATCAAGGTTCACTCAGATTTATGAATGCAGTTTCTTGAGCAAGTATACATGTATGACAAATAGTTTTGTTGCACTTGTGTACTCTATGGGTCAGTGGAAGTTTTTAGTTGTCAGTACAAAACTAGATCATCGGAAATCACTTTATGATGAGTTGTAACCACAAAGAGTACATATTTATTCACCTGTTTGCAGATGTTCCTTGTACAATTTTATAATCAAATAATGGGGACTGTGACATTTCATGTCTTGTTATTCCTTGTTTCTCGAGTTTTTATGAGGCAATTTTTTTGAGGAGGGCGAAAAAAAATAAATCTTTTTTTCCATTAGATTTATGTGATTCTCAAAGAATTGTAAGTGGGATCATTGATCAGAGAGAAGAATTTTATTTTTTCGGCTCTTGTTTATTCGGCGGGTTCGCGAAACAAGGGATAATAAAAGTCTGGCCTTAACCATATCTATGACTAATTTAAAATGAATGTTGTATTGGATATAATACTACATGTATTCTCTATAAAGTGTCCACACATTTACTACTGTAATTCTCACTGACAATCCTGAATATTGACATGTGTTTTATTGCTTCACAGTGGGACTGTTACATGGTGACATGGACCAGAGTGAAAGAAACAAAGTTATTACAAATTTCAAGAAGCAGCAGATGCCCATCTTAGTAGCTACTGACGTAGCTGGTAAGTGTTATTGTGTAGGTTTGTTTGCATTACAGTGCTGCACTGTAAACCAAGCATCATTAACAGATGAGAAGTCACTGTGTACTTTTTTTTCAAAGATTGTTACCGGTGGATTGAGGTAACTTGCCTATTTTAGAAATGCAATATCTGTAGTGAGGGTTTTAACAAAACTTTGTGATATAACACGATGTCCTGTAGTAAAAGATCAATATGCAAAATCTACGAACATAGATTAATATTCTTCACAGAATCACTGGATGTGTTCTGTTGTACTTGTAATTAATAATAGTACAGTGGCCCCTCGCTAAGTCGCGCCTCGGTAAGTCGCGATTCGGCTAAGTCGAGTACTTGGATGGCTCCCAAAATT